CCTTTTTAATCTCTTCTTTTGTTATGGCTTTATTTAGTTGTTCTACCTCTGTTTGTGTTAGTTTAGGTAGGTAGTGAGTTTCTAGAAATTTGTCCATTTCTTCTAGGTTTTCAAATTTGTTAGAGTACTATTTTTCATAACTTTCTGTTATAATTCTTTTAATTTCAGTTGAGTCTGTTGTGATATCACCCATCTCATTTCTTATACAGGTTATTTGCTTCCTCTCCTGTTTTTCTTTTGTCAGTTTGGTCAATGGTTTATCAATGTTGTTGATTTTTTCCAAGAACCAGCCTTTGGTCTTGTTAAATCTTTCTATTGATTTTCTATTCTCTATTTCATTTAATTCTGCTCTAATTCTTATTATTTCCTTTCTTCTGGTACCTGAGGGCTTCTTTTGCTGCTCTCTTTCTACTTTTTCCAGTTGTAAGGTTAATGTTTTGATTATGGTCCTTTCTTCTTTTTGGATGTGTGCATTTATTGCTATAATCTGACCTCTGAGCACTGCTTTCGCTGTGTCCCAAAGGTTCCGGTAGGATGTGTTTTCATTCTTGTTTGATTCTATGAATTTCTTTATTCCATCCTTAATTTCTTCTATAACCCAGTTGTTTTTGAGCAAGATGTTGTTCAGTTTCCATGTGTTTGATTATTTTTCCTTGCTTTTTCTGTTAGCTGATTTCTACTTTTATGGCTTTATGGTCAGAAAAGATGCTTTGTAATATTTCAGTGCTTTGGATTCTGTTAAGGCTTGCTTTATCGCCTAATACATGGTCTATTCTGGAGAACGTTCCATGTGCATTAGAAAAGAAAGTATACTTGGCTGCTGTTGGGTGGAGTGTTCGGTATATGTCCATGAGATCAAGTTGGTTGATTGTGGCATTTAGATCTTCCAGGTCTTCATTGAACTTCTTTCTGGATATTCTGTCCTTCACTGAAAGTGGTGTATTGAAGTCTCCTACTATTATTGTGGAGCTGTCTATCTCTTTTCTCCATGCTGTTAAGAGTTTATTTTATGTATTTTGGAGCCCTATTCCTGGGTGCATAAATATTTACCATAGTTATGCCCTCCTGGTGTATTGACCCTTTAATGATTATATAGTGTCCTTTCTTATCCTTTATGGTGGATTTTACTTTAAAGTCTATTTTGTCAGAGGTTAATATTGCCACTTCTGCTGTTTTATGAGTGTTGTTTGATGGATATATTTTTTTCCATCCTTGTGTTTTAGTTTATTTGTGTCTTTA